GAGCCCCCCCCCTCCCCCCCCCGGTCCCCCCATGTCAAAAAAAAAGCCCGGTCTAGGTAGGGTTAACAGCTGCACACGCCATGCCATATTGACAGTATTGAACTGCATTCAAGTGTTTGGGGCAGGTATGTCAAACTTTCCTTCTCAACCATTGGAATGCGGGGCATAAACTTTTTTTAATCTTAAAAATCAACAGTTAGCATTATGCAAATAAAGGTCCTAACCAACAATGTAGGGGATAGCTATCAAACTCTTGAATTCTTAGTTATATGTCACTTCATACTATAGTTATATCAATATAAAGCATTGTTTTCCATTGCATTTCTCCTTCTCTCCCATCCATGTCGTGAAACGTGGTGAAGCGATGCTACATTTGCTCCAAAGCAAATGTCGGCCTTTCTAGTTACCTCCGGGGGAGGAGATATCCTTCCGCGGAAGGGTATTAGAACGGATTGAGGTTTTCATGTTCGCAGCTGTTTCTCGCGTTGTGGTGGACGGGTTGTTTGAGTGATAACCCACTGCCTCAGCCCCGCCTGCCGTTTTGCATTTGGTTTGCGCGCTAATTCCATCCTCTGGAGTTATTGGTACCCCTCTTTTTTGTTTTCAATTGGCTGATCAAGAGCAGAACGGATGTCAGGCTTGCATAAATACTAGTAACACAGACAAAACAACTGTAAGCAATGATCAGCAAGTTCTATTTGAAGCTCTTGCTGTAAGTTACAACACATTTATTCTGATCTGAATCTGGCCCCCAAACAACCTGAAGATATATTTAAGTTACCTCCAGCATGACCTACAAAGGGCCCCTTTTGGAAGGGCCACGGATATTAGAACCCATAAAATAATGGGGATAACTGACAAGAATAATGGTGATTCCTCTGTAACACTCTAACAGATAGCTAAACATGGCCTCCCGAGCTCACCAGCCATCATGATGGTAATATAACCTCCTTGGTTAAGAGTCGGGAGCAAGGTCGGCTACAGTGTTCGGCTGTGCCAGTTTAGTATCTAAAACATTAGGGTGTGGACAGTACGTTATTAGAAATTGTTTGGAACATCTTGGAAAATGTTAGCCTCAACTATTTCCGGTAAAGCTAATCTCTGCAAATTCACCCAGTATTGACCAGTTCAGACTATATGCCAGACAGTACCCAGCCTCAATACACATGCTAGGCCCTGTTATTAGACTCGGTTAGACCAAGGAGACATGATATACCAAGAGACCATGGAGTTTGGTTAGACCAAGGAGGTTATATTTATAATAAACTGTTTTTTGATATAGGGCAAGGAAGACAGGGTTACCCTAAAATTATGGCATTGAAATGGACAAAAGTATATTTTATATAAAGCAGGAATAATATTTTGAACATATCAAAACAGTTTCGAAATGTTGACAGATGTAAGAATGTACCCTCAAAAAAGCGTATGTCTCTGATGTCGGAAATAGTTCCTCGATGTACGTTTTTTGTTAAAGAATTATACATTATATCAGACATAAAAATATGAAAATCTAAGAAATATAATAACATGACATTGAATTTTTATAATCAGCAAGTTGTATTTTGCCTTTCCCCCAAGTTTCAGCCATTTTTGACCACGTACTGCTGAGCTATTAAATTTTTCCGAAAAGACCTGAAAAATCAGTAAACTGACACCGTGGGACGCCTTACACCAACTGAGTGGTCCGAGGTTAACGATTTTTGGCAGGCAGGTTGTCTTAGAGACGGGCATTGCCAAGGCCAAAAATGGGTTTCATGGGGGGTTCTTACGTGACTGGAGCGAACCTTTTGTGTTGGCGCTTTTTGTTGTACTTCAGATCGGGAATCCTTAAATGGTTGTCTATGATTTTTAGTTGGCAAGTTACCGTTGAGAATACAAAGGTCAAGTTCGGAAATGGGCCTCGTGGGGGGTTTCACGTCATTTAATTTGACCTTTTGTGTTGGTCGTTATTGTTGTTAGCAGGATAATTCGTAAAGTCGCATAGGAATGTTCACGATTTTATTTGAGAAAGTTACCGTTGACGATAGAAAGATCAAGTTTGAAAATGGTCGTCGTGGGAGGTCCATACGTTACTGTATTTGGGCTTTTGGTGATTGAACATTTTAAGGGCAGGTGAAATCTTGGTATAGTTTTATATTTAGGTTAAAACAACAAGTTACAAACGGGAAGCTGTCAACAGTGGCTTTCTTCCGAAAATATTTTCTTAGAATGTTTGTTTGTTTGTTTGTTTGTTAAAACAATATTCCCCAGCAGGGGCATGCTTAACGATCGCTAATTTGACAGCACTGTGGCCCCCATCTGGAATGAGTTTTAATCCCGGGAACAAAGTAAGTTGGTATACTGTACACAATGGTTAGTTCCAGGCACCAGGGATCGCTGGAAAAATAGTGGAAAATGGCCAAAATTAGTATGCCGCTAGAGAGATACAATTTGCGACTCACGGGAGGAACCCATTAATCTTACATACCACATACACATCAAAACAATATTACTGTCGGAGGCATGAGCCCTCCAAACTCTAGTTGTATATTTGTTTTCGGGCGTGAGAATTAAGACTTTTGGTGGCCCGCGGACACCCCTTTGTCCCTGAAAATGGTCTCGACCGTTGACCTTTGGTGTGTTTTAAGTATTTTCGGTATCGTCCACTTGTATGACCTTTCGCACAGAGGGGTGTCCGGTCACGATACATTCTTTGTTAAAAAATATGCGCCAAAATGCTGTTTTCCAGGGCTGCATAGCCAGATTCAGTGAAAATATGCACAATTAAAAGAACTTTTGGTGAAAATATATAATTCTTTGTGGATTTATGGTGTTTTTGAGTTGGATCGAACCCGGAAGTGTTAATACGGGGGAGGAGGGGTGGGGTGCCTGGTAAAGGTAGCGAGTCACAAGTATGCAAACTTTTGCATACGTGCCTATATTACTAGAACGTCTTGTAAACCCTTGTATATTTGGCGTACTATAAGCAGCAAGCTTCAGTATGTGGCATTTCGGACCCCAGTCATAATATTATAGTTTTGATCGAAATATTTGTCGATACGCGCCTTGTGGCCGCGTTTCTTCCTCAGGAATGTATGTCTGAACACTGATTACCGGTTATTTTTAACGTCTGATTTAACGGTTCCAGTTGTCATTCTGAGTTTCATTACGAGTTCCTTGCGGCAGATTAGATAGAATTTCATACTTTCATGGGTACATGTTATAAGCTGCAGATGAAAATGTTGACCTATGTTAACACAACCTGGAAATCTAACACATAAATTTAACACCATTAACTATTCATTACAAACAGCATAAAGCCCGGAGTTATAAAATCATTTTACTTGTTTGTATTATTCTAGTGGACTCCGGGAAGACTAGTTATTGTATTCTGGCCTCTACCAGGCGTCGGGAGACCGCTGGAAAGAGTAGACATGAGAGAGATGACATCCAAGACATAACAGCCAAAAGAGAGATAACATCCCAGGAAATTTGATCCGCTAAACAGCACATTTGTGCAGCAAAATTTATTCTTATCGGACCAACTCCCTCGGCATGCTATCTCTCTATTTGGACCATTTCTACTCTTTCCAGCCTTCTCCCGAAGCCTGGTAGAGGCTAATTCTATTCACTAATGCAGATCTAAAAACACCAAACCAAATTCAGCAAGAAACGCTTTAAATGTTACAGGTGCAGAGTTCACACCAAACAATGGGGACGATGACGATCCTGACACCCACATGTACAATTACGTCGACAAAGATGAAATCAACCGACAGTTGTCTCTACGACAGACCAACAGCAATGATGGACAACCACCCGGTGAAGGGACGGATAGACGGCAAGTAACTGTGGGCCGGAAAGTCGTCGGCTTGCTTCACAACCAAATGTATGGACCTCACGCTTCACCACAGGAAGATAACGAAGGTATGGGTCGTGTTTTGAATTCTCAAGTAGCTATAGCCACTTAATAGTCATTTGATTTTAGTATAAAATCATAATAACAGTTGTTGCCTTCCCCAGAAGGGTAGAAAATCAGATTGCTTTAGTGTAGGGGACTGTGGATCTAGCGGCATATGAGATGAAGGTCAAGTGCAAAAATGGGCTTAGTGGGGGGGGGTCTACGTTGCTGCAGTAGACCTTTTATGTTTGTCGTTTCTTAGCTTGACTCTCATTGAGAGTGGGGAGTTTTCTCAGGAAGAAGTTACCTTGGCAACCATGCAACTAAAAACTGGGAAAGCACCTGGCATGGACGGCCTCCCCATCAGAATTTTGGAAACTGCCGAGCATAACAAAAATTCTGTTTCACTTTTGCAACCTAACCTACAGGGGAGAGCGCCCCAAGGAATGGGGATTGTCTGGAATTATCCCCATCCCTAAGAAAGGGGACTTGCGCCGCCCAGATAATTATAGAGGTATTTCACTGTCACAAATTGCATCCAAAATTTATAACCGTTGTTTGCCTAATAGGATTCGTCCAGTTATCGACAAAGTGTTACGCACAAACCAAAATGGCTTCCGTCAAGGTAGATCAACTACTTCTCACATTCTCGCGCTCAGACGCATTGTACAAGAGTTGAGAAACTTTGACCAAGAGGCAGTACTTGTGTTTATTGATTTCCGCAAGGCATTCGATTTGATTAACCGCCACAAAATGTTTCAAATCTTGGAAGCGTATGGGATTCCGCTGGATGTCGTCAGCGCTATTCGAGTCATGTACGAGGACACCAGTGCGGTGGTTATTACTCCTGAGGGAGAAACCGATGCATTTAGCATTAACACTGGCGTCCTGCAGGGCGATCCTTTGGCCCCTTTCCTTTTTGTTATTTGCCTCGACTATGCGCTCCGGTCTTCGATTTCAGAATCAGACGGGCTTACTCTCCGTCGTCGTCGGAGCCGACGATACCTAGCTGAAACCCTCCCAGACCTTGATTTTGCTGATGATATTGCTTTATTGGAAAACTCAATAAAATATGCACAAAATCTTCTCACAAAAGTTGAAACTTCATGTCAAAAAATAGGTTTATACTTGAATGCTTCCAAGGCAAAGTTCATGCATCTAAACCCTACTACTGACAGTTTACTTTTTGCCACTGATGGCACTGAAATCGACTGTGTTGCGGATTTCAAATACTTAGGAGGGTACTCTGATAGTGTTCATGACATGGATGTGCGGATCGCACAGGCATGGGAGTGCTCTTCACTCATTACATAAGATTTGGAAAGCGCCCATTAGAAAACAAACTAAGATCAAAGTGTTTAAGGCATGTATTGAAACAATTCTTTTGTATGGGTCAGAATCATGGGTCATGAATATGTCACATTCTAGAAAACTAAACTGAACATACACGAAGATGTTGCGAGTGGTTTTTAATACACCATGGTGGAAACACACTACTAATGAACAGTTATACGGTTCGCTGCCAAATGTAACTTCAGTAGTCAAATGTCGACGACTAAGCTTGGCCGGTCATGTAGTACGTAGTGAAGAACCAGCCAGTAGGCTTCTACTCTGGAACCCTGATACCGGTAAGAGAAGAGTTGGACGCCCAAACATAATAGTTAAGAAACTTAATTGAAACTGAAACTGGCTTGGAGGGACATGAACTTTTCTCAGTGATGTATAACAAACAGTTGTGGCGAGCTAACTTTGTATGCTCCACCTCTACGGAGGATGAATGATGATGATGATGACGTTTCTTAGCAGAATAACTCGAGCATATGTGAATGGATGTCCATGATTTATAGGAGGCAAGTTAGTGTTGTAAAGATCAACGGTCAACGTTTGAAGTGGGCCTTGCTGGGGGTCCCTACGTCGCTGCAGAGGGCCTTCTGTGTTGGTTTGTGTGTAAGTAGTTCAAGTTCTGGAAGAACAATTGTCGAAATGTTAGTATGGTTTTGGGGCATAGATGAATTGGTGTAAGTTTGGGCTCTCTGTTGGCTTGTGGGGAAGTGCAATGGGCCCTTATGTGTGAAACTTGCTTTTGCTTTTTTGTTTTCGTTCTCAAAGTTTTAATAAGTCATGTTCAGACTGGACTATTGTGTCTTTGATATTGTATGTAACATTATGTTACATACAACTATATAGATAATTTATGATGTTGACATAAAAAGACTATCTTCTACACACCCATTTGTTTATTCCGCCGATGTCTTCGATATTGTTTAGCGTAGATATAATCAACCATAATCATTAAAATCAACAGTTACCTTTTTTATTTATTTTGACTTCAACCATATTACATATACCCAAAAATAAAGATAAAATATCATCAATGCCCATCCACTTAATGTTCCTTAAGTCTTCAATGTTCCTGTCTGCTTAAGGAAACAAAACCGAAATTACAAATGAAGGCCACGTACACAGCAATGTCGACACAGATGGGATCAACAATCTTCGACAGCAATTAGATGATCCTGCAGTTACAGACCGCAACAATCCTGGCCTCATTAACAATATGATGTATGTTCCTGGTGTCTTACGACGAGGTAAACACAGAGGTTTATTTCTGTTGCAATTATTGAAAACAAACTTCCAGGATAGAGTACTAAATAAGTTTAAATTCCCAACTGCGTGATCTCTTGTTGGTAATATGCCCATGGTAAAGTTCACAAACACATGTTAACATGCGTGTTTAAACTGAAAACTTTACATCCAACACCATAAAGTTTTTTCACCTAGAGCTTTCGACCAGTCACTCTGGTCTTCTTTAGTAGACTGACCCATTGGGGCTTGTCACGTGGTTTCTTGTCGCTCCCGTCGCGGTTGGGTGAAGGGTGATGGGCCCTGATGTTAATATCCTCTTCACCCCATTCAGGAAATAGTCTTGGACATGCACTAAGCATGGACTACATACTAAAATTCCGGTAAATATGATAATGATGACACAAAATTAACAAGATTTAATAGAAAATTCTTTGATTCCTCTCAGATATCAACGATGGTACAAACATCTCCAGATTTTTAAAAAGCTGCAAGATGGCGTTTAGCCGTGTCCTACAATTTATCATCATCGCCATAGCAATGTTGGCCTTGTTAAGTGCAGGAGCTGGTATCGTCATGTATCTCACTGGTACACTTGGAGGGCCGGCTGAAATCAACATGGTTAGTTTTCTACTTAAGTCTTTTCTAATTTTAATTTATATAAGTTCCACGCATATCACCAGGAAGTTGTAACTCATCATCATCATCATCGGTCGACCGTATTCGGTCGGGGTTATACCGCCCCTTACGAGGTGACATACCCTTTCGTTAGCTTAATACAAGATGTAACTAATACAGATTTAAATATATAATTTTTTCAAAAATGCAACAACTCCGGGTCTTGAAATGCAAAAATAGGTAAATACATTTATTTAAAAAAAATGCTGAAATTTATCATTAGCCGTACTTGGTTGTATACTGTATTAGCTAAATTAATAGCTGTATTATGTAAAGTAATCAATTTTCATTCTATACCCTTTTTTGTACTATGTTCAATAGTCGGTGCCATACATCCTACTATGTACAATTGTCGTGCAATAAAGACCTTCTTCGATAAGAAATATTGTTATGTGGCTGTTGTGGTGAATTGTTCGACAAATGTGGTGAACACCAATGATGAATGAACCAAAGGAAGTAATAACTGAAGAAGTTGTAACATTGTACAATGTACGTCTTTTTTATAGCCCTCTGTGGTAACTGATCGAGGCAACTGGACAACTGCTATGCTTGTAACAACCACTGTGACTGCAACCTACCTACCAGTCACTTTGACAAATACAGCCTTTCTGTCTGCTACTAAACTGCATCGGGCAACCAACATGTTTCCACCATCAAACGAAACAGCAACAAGATGCCATAGGCGACAATTCTCCGTGAAGTATTATATATTGCAACAAAAAGAAGTAGCCATTGGCGACAATTCTCTGTGAAGTGTGATAAATTGAACAAAGAAAAATTGTTTAAACGCGCGTCGGCTCAGTCAACTTAAGACGCAACAACCAATCAGAGATGCGAAATGCCGACACGTGACGCGGGATTTGCATACAGTCTAAACAACGGGAAGGGCGCGCGATGCCCGAAATATTTTTGCGTCAATATTTAGCGCCGTGATTCAAGAGATTAATATCCGGAAACAATTTCTTTTCTTGTTTTGAACGCATAAACATGCATTTACGCTAATCTAGTATGATTCAGGGTTACTTTTTTTAACCTGCCATGGCCAGATTATCTAAATATGTGTGTATTGTGTGCACAATCTACAGAAAGAGAAATGTACATCAGGTCCGATCATCCGATTTTCACGTTTCGGTTTTTTGGACTCGGTTCATGAACGTATTTTGGTTTGGCTCCTGGAATGTGCGAAAAAAATGACTCCCGGGACTGTCTACAGGGAACACTCTCGCACATTCGCGGTGTATCAGGACAGCGCGACTGGTCGGCATTAGCGCAGTCCCTGCAATTAGTAACAGTTGCACATCAACCCGGCCGAAAGCATGATTGTGTTACACAGGCTACTTCTTCATATACCGGCTCATACTACAAGACGCCTTTACAACTAGCAAATCATAAAATTACCCGATCTACTAGTATGTGCGGTTTACCAGCCCCAGAGCACATCCGACCACGAGGCAGAACACATTGATGGGTTGCTCAAAAATATTGTCCATGTTTACAAAGAGCTGCTCCACTAACACTATGGAGCGGCCCAACCCAAAAATATTGGCCATGTGTACAGCATGCTCGTTGCTAGGACGACCGGCCAGTTGCTACGTGACTAAATACACGCCGCCACTAGGTCGCCACAGCCGACCAGTTCGAAATCGATAGGATTACGTCATCGGTATTTACATTTCGTAATGCTGACCACTGACCACCCCACATTTCCGTCCCCATCAGCTACCGGCGACATAAACGGACGACAACATTTCAACGACATGGGGATGTTTCGAAAATAAGCATTTACCTCAATATCAAAACAGCTACGGTAAAAATAAAAAGACGTGCATCATCCCGGACATAATGCCACACATGCGAAATTACACAGAAATGCGACGTACGGAAGAATGCGTTTTGGCTGCGAACATCTTCCAAAAAACTTGCCATCTCTTAAGCATGGGCAAAAACATCTGGAACCACTTATCAAAACCACCCCGTATCTGCATGAAGTTCCACCCCCCCACTGCTATTCCAAACAACGCGTTTTTCTGGACCATTCCAATTCGCCTCGTAATTGTAGGGGTGCGTCTGCAATATTACATTGACCGCGAAAGCAGCAACGGCAAAAATACACATTCGTGCATCAACACGGGCATGCCCGCAGACGGCGTATAAAATTGCGTGCCGATTACACAAAGAGAACCCAGTGTTTTGACTGCGAACATGAAAAATCAGCCGATCACAACACTCCGTCCGGAGGTCCTGACCTCCTTCACGGAGTAACAACGCCGATACCAAAAGCTCAAGTAAAGGAAGTCTTGGATGATTTTAGTTTCGCACATCCACAGTTGTTTTAGCAAACAAAAGTAGCCCCTTTACATTGTGTTTTATTGTTATCAAGGCACTCGATACCTTTATACTGACCACACTTCGTTTACGTCAACAGGCCACCAGCCATGATTTTGTGAGAGCAGAAAATCTGCCAACGGTCACACCCACACTGCCAACGGTCACAACCACACTGCCAAAGGTGACAACCACACTGCCACACGGGACATGGACTGGAAACCCAGTAACAGGCAGAGGTTGGTTATTCAGAAATAAAGAATTTCCTGGCTAGACTAGGAGTGCCAGAGAATAATACGAATTCTACAAAATCCATACGAATTGTACAAATTTAATTCGATTCATTATTAATAATTAAGGAAACATACGAATTTTTAATACATACAATCCGTTACCAGACGCATACGAATTTTACGGAATACATATAATTATACATACATATATTATTTGGAAACACACGACCCTTAATAATTTGGGGATCTAGGCGCAGGACACTAAATTAGTAAGGATCGTATGTTTCAAAGTAATGGATCACATGTATAATGTAGAATTAGTATGTTTCTGGTAACGGATTGTATGTATTTCGTAAAATCCGCATGTTTCCTTGTAATGGATCGTATGTATTTCGTAAAATCCGTATGGATTCTGTAAAGTTCTTTGGCACACCTGGGTATCAGCTTATTCTGATGGGACTTAGATTGGAAAATCACGACCATGTACATTTGTATGATAGTCATGTAAAACACAAAGAAAAGAAGGGCAGGCTGGAGTAGATAGGGAAGGGGGGTGCTAAAACTGCCTGCGCCATTTTCTTAATGTCGGATAGCGTCTGAACGGCTTGTGCTAGAACCACCAAACTTGATAACTTAAAAAAAATGGTTGGCAACAATTTCCTATCAGTGGAATAGGTTAATGCTTTTTTGTGTTGCCATGGAGAGGGTTTAATGTAATGACGTCACATAAGTCTCAGTAGACCCCTAATATTCTCTAATAAAAACTTTTTTGTTAAAGTTATGTTGTAGATCATTATGTTTTAAGGGAATAACCTACCTAGGCGGTATTGGCCAATAAAATCAAAGTAATGACACCATGATGATGTCATATTACGTGATAATGTCAATAGATTTCTTGTCATGATAAATTTTCTTTAGCACAACATCCTAACAGTGAGCTTTCAAATTTAACTTCTTAACGAGTAAAAGTTTTTGAAAAAAATGATGACCAAAAGTCCGGTAAAACTTTTTCAGCTAAATGTCCGTATGGCTACCAACTACTCACTCAAACCTGCATCAAGGTATATCCTTACGAAAGGAATTTCGCAGAAGCCTTGGCGGTCTGTGAAAAAGACGGGGCGACACTAGCCATGCCCAAGACAAAGGAATTGGACGTCGCTCTGAGAAACCTGATAAGAAAAGGTGGAGTGAGACTAACCTACTGGATTGGGCTGGTTAAGTGCGACGACACCTGGAAATGGGTAGACGGATCCCCACTAGAAAATTACAAGGTACGTTAAAACACGTGACACGAAAAAAACAACAACAGGGGCTATTTGACTAATTTGCATCATCCTTGCCTTGACTTTACTAACTTTTGTTTTCCTTGGGACTTACAAAAACCACGTGCAAAAACAATGTCTTGTCTTATTTGCATATAAATCAATAGATCGTGCTTATAAACCTGTCTTTCTGACAAGTCTCCAGTGTCACTGACGAATGGTAGTGGATGCTACCTAAAATGTCTGACCGATTAATAAAAATCATATCCGTTTCTGCGAGTAACTTTTTTGGCCTATCTAATTACCTGGATGACTAACCTTTACAAACGCACGTTAATACGGTCTCTGTGCTCTTTGGTATGTGGGTCATTGAGAAGACAAGTACAGACTTCAACCTCTTCAATGCCCCTTATACTTGTATGGTTTTACTCTCACCTGTTTTTCTTGACACTATAGATTTTGCTAACAGATTGATATTACGAGTATACACTTACGACCCCCAATTGAACCACACAACGCGCCTTTTTGCATAAAAGTATGTGTTCATAGACAGAAATCTAAGATATTGGTTACAGAAAAGAATACACTCAGATTAAAAGTAAAATATATCATTTTCTTTTTTGTGGGCAGTAAACCTACTTTTTTTATTAGGGATGGAATCCAAACGAGCCAAACACAGCATGGTCTTGGTCAAGTTTTGAATGGCCAGACTGTGTACAGTACTGGTCAGTACGCACCGGCACCCCGATGTGGGACGATACCAGATGCTGTCATAAATTGAGGTTCATCTGCCAAGCTACCCAGAGGCACTTTCCCCATGAAAGTGGTGGGTGTTTTTTTGGA